GAGCGACAAGTAGTATTGCAAATCATTTGTGACGCCGATCAAAAGATTATCGATTCCTTTTTGGTACTTGCTGATGACTATTCGTTCGACGCCTCACCCATAGGTCAAACATTGGCATTAAATGTACAAACAATGCCAACAGGCAGTTACCTCATAGGTAATAATAGCTTTCCTCTTAAACCCTATCTAATGCGTCCAATAGGTGAGCCCAGCGATAATGAGGAGCGAAATTTCAATTCAGCATTACAGCCGGCTTTACATATTGGCGAACAAGTACTAGACGCAATGGCGAAACGTTTTAATGTTTTATATGCGTTGGAAGCGCGTAATATTCATGAAGTACGAAAAATAGTGGACACGGTTTGTGCATTACATAATCTTTGCGTTGAAATGGAGGATGACTATAGCGAGCGCAAACTGAAGGATATGCAATTTAATTGGGCCAAAGTGATAGACGAAGGCTCAAAGAAACTAAGAGATGAACAAGACGAACAGGGCAAACAAAAGCGTAGGGCTCTAATGGCGCAGGTGTTAAATTAAATATCTTGGGTACATTTCAAATTTAAACGGATTAGCATTAGGATCTCAGGTACACACCAAAAAGTAATTTTAAATTTATTTATTATACCTTTTATTCCTTCTAATTATTTAAGAAACAATTCTAGTGTGTATTTGATAATTCTCTGTTGTCGGCATTTGCTGGCAAACTAATTTCTTTTTCATTTGCAGTAAAAGTTTGATTACATGTTTAGAGCTACAAATATGATTACTTTAAATTAGAATTCATTAATATGTGTAGATTTATTAATACAGTAAATGTATATATGTATAATATATTTTCATATTACTTTTAGTTGTGGTTTTTATATCAGAATTATTTGTCCGTTCGGCTGCACAAAAGAGTATGCAAAAATTTGTCTTATAAAATAATTAAATAAGTAACACGCTAATAAGGTACATTATCGAAATACATATATTAAACCTTGTGTTAAATAAAACTGACTATATATGCGGGCAGGTTCTGCAATTCACTTCCGAGTGAATTTAAACCCCTGCCAATTTGAATTCAAAGCGAACTTGAATCAATTTCACTCGGAAGTGAATTGCAGAACCACCTGCCTGATAAAATAGATAAATATGTAGTATATAGAGAGATGTTTTACATGTTTTCGAGATTCAAGTTACACCAATTTCAGATAACATAATCATCCCTATTACGAAATTGGACCATAACAGACATGTGTCCGGCAGATGTCATTCTCAAGAATCATCGTCCACACTTGCTTGTTATGGCAGTGCGAGTCGGATGATATCCCTGCGGATGGCTTCCGCAGGACACCGTAATAGGTATTAATACATTATGGAGGATAGTTTTCAGAGAGACTGAAGTACAATAAGAGTACCTATAAAAATGGTTAATGAGAGATCGATTCAATAATAGATCAAATAATATTTTCAATAAGCGAAAGTTGTAAAATTAAATGGAATGTTTTCGAGACATTAACGCAGCATTTGAATTCAAATTCATTTCAATTGTTTGTGCTATGACCAAGTGGAGGCCTCACATTAATTCGAGGTTGTTACTTAATGATATTACAACTATGTGCTACTTATACTTATATTGAGGTTATTGCCGTTTCCAACGCTACTGCTATTTCCACCTAATAGCTGCAATAGCTTATGTCTGGTGCGTTTATCACTGACACAAACGCATTGTATCAGATTGGTAAGTTGCTTTGTGGAATACTGCTCTAAATTACGTTGTGTTTCGATCCACTCTTCAAATTGTTCATTCGAGT